AACGCAAGGTTTACGCTTCCATGACTTTTCCAAACAACCTCTCTTTAGTGTTTGGCTCTGCAAAAATTTCCGAACAACCCAATACATTAACGATCACCATACTAGTACATTACACAAAAAGACGTAAAACACGGTTTTTTTTCTACTCGAAACACATAGATGGGAAGGGATCCTTATCCTACAGAAATAGAAGGCGAAACGTTTCCACAAAAACTCGGTTACTGGCCATGTTTCCCATTCCTTCAAGTAGGCAATATCAAAGTAGATAGCAGAGACAACTACTGTGACATCGTGGGATACTGCTTTGATGTATCCCTACCTTTCGACCTTCGAGAACGGAATTATTAATAAAGAGCCACACCGCAGAAATCTAAACCGTATTGCTCCATGAAAAATAGAGATCCCCCTTTTAGGAAAAAATCCTGACCTGACCATTCGATCAGATTTCAAGAGAAGTGAGTCAAGGCGCACACATACGGATCTTTACTCTCAAAGCTTCCCATGAAACTCGCATAGCGTAGTTCTCCCCACGCCAAAGGAAAAGCCAAAGACTATAAGTGCAACAATTTGATATTGATTAATTATAGAAGCAGAGGTGTGGAAAGGTACGGCAGTCGAGGAGAAGGCATATCTCTAAAAAATTGCAAAAATTCATTTCGCTGCGTGATTATGGGCGAGTTTAAAAAGTAGCTGATAGCGTGAAGGTGCCCAACAGAAGGTACGACGACAAGATTACAAGGTGCGCTCATTCAAAAACTGCACTGGAGCTTAAGGAGGAATCCACGATAAGAACGAAGCCGAAAGAAGGACAAATTTAGCTAGAGGAGGCACCTCTTAAGGGTGCGGACGCAACACGCAATTCGCATCGCATCGAGGCTACGCTCCCGGCGATCTAAGGGCGCACGCATAGTCGGTCGGACGACAGCAACGATCGTAAGTGTCGCACAGCATTGGATGCGTATCGATCGTCGGACTTGCCTGAGTATTCGACGATTAGATGCAGTTAGACAGTCAGACAGTTGCGATCCGTTGCTGTCGGACGACCGACTATGCGTGCGCCGCTATAACTGAGGCTTCCGCTTTGGCGGGCAGTGGCGGCGGCCACTGAACCTACCTGATCACTCGCCGCACGGTCTACACGCGGCGCGTGATTGGATAGCAGGGAAAGAGTAGTGGTGAAGAGGGCACGACGAGAGAGTCGTATTAATGCGGAAATCAACAGGGCAAGGAAGGGGTCCCACTTCTCGGGTTTCGGGCCGTTTCACGTGGTTTCTTCTTTATCCCTACTCCACTGGCCACCTCTACCCTTGTTTCCAATGAGGTACCCTCGCCTTCAAATGACCAGAAATTGTGCAATTGCAGAAATTGACGTGGCATTGGCACACGTGGCTAATTCTCGATGAAAAGGTGACATCACGTGTGCTCAAAGATGTTCTTGAATCGATGCCACGTTAATGCCACGTCAATTTCTGCAATTGCACAATTTCTGGTCATTTGAAGGCGAGGGTACCTTTTCATCGTGAACGTTCGATGAAGCGTGACGCGCAAACGCGTCCCACGTTGCGCACCTCGTGGGACATTGTGACGCGGTAACGCGTCCCACCCAAGTCGTTCCCACTTTCCTTGCGCTTGTGCGACTTATTGTTAAGGTCTTTGCACTCATTCTATAGGTCATACATTAGCATACTTAACCACATGGCTCACAGAAAGGTCAAATATTCTTTAGTTTGGCAGACATTTTCCAGACCTTACGGATATGTCTGTTCGATTCATTCTCTCGTTTTTTTTTTCATTGAACCGTAAAGATGTTGATAAAGAGGAAAAAGACAAAACGACTCACAAAAACTTATTCCTGGTTAGATAGGTATTTTTGCTGGAACAACCACGTCCACATCAATTTTACCTTTATCTTTATCATTAATCAGTTGCAGAAAATTTTCGAAATACTGAGGAGAGATTAAAGAAAATTCCCCCTCTCATGGCCTCAAAACATCATTTTGGTCAAACTTCACTGCTGTAACTCCAGATAAGCTAGACAACATCATTGAAAACACTTCATCGCATCTAAGTATTGCGGATTTACAACTTAAAATCCATGGATTTGGTGTGCGGCGGCTGCGCTCGCTCGCTTGTCCCACGCGGTGCAAAAGCACAAAACGCGCGATGTCGTCAACGTGTTAACTACATTGTGGGCGCACGCATAGTCGGTCGGACGACAGCAACGACTGCAAGTGTCGCACAGCATTGGATGCGTATCGATCGTCGGACTTGCCTGAGTATTCGACGATTAGATGCAGTTAGACAGTCAGACAGTTGCGATCGTTGCTGTCGGACGACCGACTATGCGTGCGGAGCAAAAAGAAAGGGGAACGGGGAAAACTTAAAAAAAAAACCTCGTAAGAAAGGAAACAATATGCTCCATATGTTGCAAAAACTCCAACAAAAAAAACCCTCGTAAGAAAGGGAACAATATGCTTCATATGTTGCAAAAACTCACCGTTGAAGTATGATTCTTCTTGGGCTTGATGATAACTGGCGGCGGAGCTTGATTCATTGCTGAAGCATGCATGTTCTTGTGAGAAATGAGGCGAACGGTATAGTTTTCACGCAGGTTTCAGAATGATATGCAAACGAGGCTGAGAGCCCAGATAGCAGAAGTCGGCTCAGCACAGCACCACGTCCTGACATGCACCCAGTAGCAATTCCCTTCTACAAATGTACGTCGCTCACAGCATGCCAATCACAAAACACTTGCAGATCTGTTCACATAGTGTAGCTAGGCATTACATGGTAATATAAAAGCCACAGCTTCCATCCAACAAAGGCATATTCAAAACAATTTAACCCGAATCTTTATAACTTCAAGGTTACAGATTGCACAATGACGACATTCAGCAAACTAGTGCAGCGTGCAGCTCAAAGGCAAATAGTACGAAGAAGTTGTCGCCTTTTGGATCACTCCCTCACAGGCCCAGTCTTTCTGTGCAGTAGGCTTGCTCCCTCTTTCTCGTCATCAATTCATCGCGCCATCTCCCTTCAACAAATCAGCGAGAATTTTTAGAGCAGAAACTAAGCGGGTGGGAGCAGTGCCCTGCACGATTCCGGGCTCCAAAAAAAAAAACATAAAAATGTATAACCGGCCAGGGAGCACAAACCAAAATGGGGTCCAATCCAATCACATTTATAACGCTGAAAAGGAATAAAGTTATAAACTATGCCGTTGCAAAGATTATCACGATTGTCCAGTGAGCTATATGATGCCAAAATTGTCCCAATCACACCAAAATGTTTCATTACTACGGACAGTACGTGCTGTACACAGGACTTCACAGTACCAAGCAAATTTCGCTCTCAACGAAACGATCAACGAACACGGCCGCATAAGCACATGCTTCAACATAGTGCAGCCAAAAGACGGCTTGGAAAAAAAAACAAATACTAGCTTTGGAGTGCGACCTTGATATTCAGCTAAACAAGACTAATTTTTTTTTTTTTCTTAATTCAAAATTTGTTATTCGTGATCTAATGAGCTGTTAGTACTGATATTTTCCACCGAGAAAACAACAATGGTCACAATTAGTGAGCCAAAAAAGGGACACGTCTTACAAGAAAATCTCTAGCGATAGAAAATAAATCTGCGCAACAAGAGAATAAAATTAGAACAAGACCAAATTATAACTTAAACAATTATAAAATGAACAACAACTCGAACAATAAAGATCTAAGAGATCAACAAAAAACAAAAACAAATACACCTTGCTATTGCACTCCAAGTACAAGTCTAAGCTAAACTAAGGGGGTGTAATATTCGAATCATACGGCAATCTCGCCATTCGAATAATCATCCTAACTCTATCATCATTCGCGACAAGCTGGATGATTCTACATTCCAAATGGACACAGTTTCAGCACACTTGATAGTTCAAATGGCAACGAGGGTGAATAACATTCGAGAAAATGCAATGAATGCCAAGCATTACTTGTGTCGCTTTCATGGAATACTTCCACATTCTGACGTAATTCTTCATGGGCACAATTACTAATCATGCCAGCAGCACGTACCCATCCATAAGAAAGCTCGGATTTCTCTGGATGTCTCCCCAAGGACCGAGTCCTCTCCAGCAGCCGCCTTTACCCCAGCGCAGTAATCGATCTTTAGCCTCTTCCTCCTGTAAAACAAAACTAAAAAAATTACGAAGTTGAGCAATCAGGTATAAGTCGCTCTTGTCTTCAATCGTACCATTGAACCGTCAGGCGTCAAGCAAATAGTGATCGTTGGTCAGTGTGGTACTGGATATGAGAATCACTTTTCTTCCATTGCTGTATAATGGCACAGTAAAGCTCCTGCAATGCTCACCTTTGTAGAAACCCTATTTTGTGAGTGTGCCAGCTTACCAGGAAGGTCTCTCAGGGTGTGCCAAGCTTTTTCAGAGCGGTGTTATGCGGGTACCCCCCAGGAGGCCCGTCGCGCGGCAAGAAGGCAAAGTCAGCGGACGAGTCGCGCGCGTACTATAGGGATTTCGCGTCAAGTTAAATAGAGTGTCCCACTGCACGTCCTACATCGCACACCACGCGCTGCAACTCGTCCGCCGACTCTGCCTTCTTGCCGCGCGACGGGCCTCCTGGGGGGTACCCTGTTTGGTGCATTTGTAATAGGGGCACATGTGGAACCACAGAACCATGGTTAATTTTTCCTGAACGGCCTCTAAATACCAGAAAAGGGGGTCCCTGTTTCATTTCCTTGTAGGTGAAAACTTGCATTTCGAGTTTCCATTTCGAAATTCGCGCAAAATGGGATCGTACTTATGAGTATGGCATTCGTTATGTATGCATTTTGTTATTCATGCTAACTCCATTTTGCGCGAATTTTGAAACGTCAACTCGAAATGCAAAAATTTGTCACCACGAGGAATCGAACTAGGGACCCCCTTTTCTGGTATTCAGAGGGCCGTTCAGGAAAAATTAACCATGGTTCTGTGGTTCCTACATGTGCCCCTATACAATGCAAAAGACCGTTGAAAGACCTTCCTGGTTAGAATGGGGAGAAATATACGTCAAAGTTTTGAAATAAACGAAGCGTTCAAACAAAAAGAGGCTGAAACCCACCTCAAATCCATGGAAATGAAACAGTGCAATGATATTGGTGTACGGAAATTTTTGCAATGCTCGACTCAACAATCTTTTCGTTGATGCATGAATTATAGGAATCCGACGTGTTATGCATTCATCACGTAGAGAGTGGAATAATGACGGTCCTAAAGTCACAAAAGGATAAGAAGGAAATCAGATAGCCTGATTTTACTTGCCAATTCGAATACCTGAAACTAATTCGTCATCCAAATTTCGTGCAACAATGACGCATTTCACATTCTCTGCTCTGACGTGTTTTAGTGATTCGTGAAGTCCACACACAAATGTTCTCTTTGAACGCGCCTGAACTATTTTGAGGTAAGCGTGACTCATCCTGCCTGTAAAACCTAAAACAGGAACAATGAGAAAGGGAAAAAGTGTTCACAATGCTCACAAAAGTGCTAAAATACGACAGAAAATGAATGAAAGTAGCTATCAAAGTACCTAGCACAAACAGGGTGACACTAATCTAACAGAAAACAGCATTTGAATAGCTAACGAGCCTCGCGAACGCAGGGGAGGAAGAAAGCCTTTGGAGGCTGCCGGCCAACAAAGGAAACCATTTCCTTGAAACCTCCATCCACTTCGCTTTAGAACGGAAATTAAAAGGCTAAAAGGATAGATTGCCTGCCGCTGTTACCCCTTGGGAAATTCCATGCACTCACAATCAAACGTGCAAGCCTCTATAACACCTGCAACGTCCCATTTCCCCGGAGAGAGTGGTTCCTTTTAGACTAGCCCATGAAAAAAGAATAAGTGATTGGAGAAAACGCCTCTACAACGGCTCAGAAACCTACTCTTGCTCCATTGTTCCTGGAAGAAACCATGACTGAAAAAATACTTTACCTTCGTTTGATTTACTTCATAAACAGCATCAGCTTGCTTCCTTAGCCTTTTTAGAAGATCAATAACCATTTCGTCCAACGGCGTGGGTATAAAAGAAAACTTGATAATTTCCGGGTCCAAAATCTCCACGTTCTCCCGGGTTTTCAAAATTTTCTGAAATACCGAATCTAAAGCATTTACTAAATTGATTTATACCTTATCTTCAAATGAGAATAGGTTACCTTTTTCGCGGGAGTCAACTTCTTCTCTTTCCTTATTCCCCTTTTCTCCGTGCACTCTTCAGGTTTCTCAATGATTTCTGCTTCTG